GAAGTAATATCTGAGTGTAAAAACCTTGGTAAAATTCTCAAAATGGTTTGTCTTCCTGTATGGATTTAGGTGTACTGTCGTTAAGAAAAAAAATGGTAGCGGAAACAGTGACAAACTTAACGGATGTGTTTAAATTTATTTACTAATATTTCATGTATTCGCTGAAGTCGCACGTATTTTACTAATATCTCGTATGTTTTATTGATATCTATTTTTGCGAGATATCAGGCATCCCTCGAGAAAATGAGCTGAAAAATAATTAATATTCATTTTTAAAGTAGATCATTTTACCTATTTTAAAGTCAAATGTTGGCTGGATTGTTGCTCGTTACAAATGGTCCACAGTGTTTTATTGTATGATCGTCCCAAGCACTATTGGTTTTAATGACCACATTTTGAGTAGGCGAACATCAACGTTGTGTAATTATATCAAATCGGTCCATATTGCGATTCCTCATGAACTTTCAACAGAAGTTCTGCATCTGTTTCCCGATCTTTATCAAGCATGAACACATCCGTTAAGTTTGTCATTGTTTCCGCTACCATTTTTTTTCTTAACGACAGTACACCTAAATCCATACAGGAAGACAAACCATTTTGAGAATTTTACCAAGGTTTTTACACTCAGATATTACTTCAATCCTAAAATCTTCTGAGTCTGATCTTGATCCTTGCATTCGTCTCTTCACTGCCTCTTCTATGACGCTTATATCTCTTGAACAAACCAAGAGTCTGTTACACGTGCATAATTCAAGAGAATATATTGACGTTATGCCCACAACAGAATAGTTGTACATGGATGAGAGAACACTCCACCGTAGAAAAGCGTCTTTTGAACAAAAATTCGATTCGATTCTTTTTCATGAATGACTAGTCTGAAGTGTGTCCTCTTTGAACACTTTGTGGTACTTTAAACTCCTTTATGTGAAATATCAGATTTTTTGTCACGATATTTTTAGAACTTCTCACTGATTATCGGAAATGTAGAAAGTGTGGAGAGAAGCAATATAGAAAAGACAAATATTAAAGAAACTGTGATCATTTTAAACAGCAAAACGAAAATAAATTATTTTTTGAGTTCCACAACTCACTATTCTAAATGGTTTTGACAAAAACATTTGCTTTATAACGGGTGGCCCAGAAATAATGACGCACTTTTGTTCTCTTTTCTTCCGAGTACAAAGGTTCGAAGATCCCATTCTTAACGCATTCGATAGAAAATTTTCTGTTCTACAAAATCCATGACCTTCTTTCATTACATATTATTGCATTATTTTAAAAAATAGTACAGATTACTGACAGGTAAAAGTATAACTGCGACGGAAGAAACAGATTATAATTATTATTGTAGTTGACTTAATTGATTATTTAATAATACTTCTGATAGCTATTCATCACAGGTATTTTGTGTAAAGAATTCGTCTTCATTTAATTAATCCGCATTCAAAAATAAAATTTTTCCTAACATTTTGCCACTAAGAACGAATGATCCTGCAATTATGGGGTTATTTATGTATCTATTTTTATCTATATTCTGTGTGGTTCCGAGATGTCATTCTGGCTTCAAAAAATAGAAAATTTTCTGCTCTACAAAATCCTATAACGCACTGAGTGTAAAAAGTACGCACTGCGTTGCGTTATTTTCAAGAGGTATTTTATGTAAGACGGTATAAAAAAATAGTGGAGGAATAAGACACGGATATAGTACTAAAACGTATGGTATAAGCAGGATTTTTTTTATAATGTGTGACGAAAGTGGAAAAGTTTCGATGAATAACAAAATCCTACTGTAGCTGTAGTCATGAAGACATGTGTCAAGAAGAGTCGGATTTGACAATGGTGGGATATCAACTTATTGCGTTTTGTTGTGATACTGTAAAAATAAAATATGGAGAATCTGAGTTTATCTGAACTTGAGAATGTTCAATATCAAATTTTGTGATCATTTTCAGCTATTAGTTGATCGAGAAAGTTTTCAGAATGTTTTGTTTGAGATATCTGTGCTAAAAATGAAAAGTTTTCTCTGCTATATTTTATTTTCACCCCATCTCATTCAATCTATCACTGTTAAATGCGATTATTATAATACTGTTCGCAAAGAAATAGAACTTCAACGTGCATTTTGATTGAAAATCTCAAGAGCAACGTTTGAGATGTGAACGAAAGTGCATCATTTTTTTCGTCAAAATTTTAACAGCTATTTTTAAGCAATGTTTTCTGCAATGTATTAGTCATACTTTTGTTCAATAAGAATAATCTTATTATCCTCTATGATTCTCTCTTATTTTCTTTAAATCCGTACTATTGGTCGAGTGAATCATCTCTATTTCGTACAGTTCTCTCTCTTTTCTATTCTTATCAAAGCGCTTTGCCTAAAGTCGGTGAACGAGAAAAAAAAATTGAATATTTTTCAAGTAATTTTTTCTTTTCTGTATCGCGTGCACGCTATGTTATATTAATACTAATTGACCGTCTTTTCTGTGTTTTGCTTCTTTTCATCAACGGAAACAGTTTATTTGAAGAGTTCGAATACGATGTTATTCATATCTAGGTCAAAGTTCTTATCTTTGTTTTCGTAAATAAGATTTATAATCGGCTTAGAAATGAACAGTTTTTCAATCAGGGATAACAGATCCAACGCAAGAAAATCAGAAAAAGAAGTTCAAAATGAGAAAATCAATAGACTTTTGAACAAAAAAAGGAGCAGAAACAAGATAGAAAAAATTCTAAATTTTCTTCCAAAATTAGAAGATTAGGGGTTCTAGTTGTATAAAAACTGTATAAAAACCATTTATTATTTTCATTGATCTATGTTCATTTCAGTAATCGAAACTGGTATGTAGTATATTTTGATTCTCGAATGCTATTAATTCAAAGAGTGGGTTGCTTGACATTCATCACTTTGGTTTTAATTAATCAGTTCGCTGTATCGAATATCTAAAGAAATTTTTGCTTTTCGAATTGTTTATAAACTTGAAAAATACGTTCTTATACTGTGTTCTAAGTTAATAATCACATAATATGTGCTATATTTTAGATGCATTTGTTTTATTCTTATTTTTATATATATTTTTCATTTTTATTAATCTATTCGATTCAATGTTCTTCTTTCAATGATCATTTACAATTACCTCAAATTACCACTTTATTAGTTTATGACAAACATTTAGAAACTCCAATTGAATTTGATTTAAAAAATGGATGGAATATTCGCGATATGCGTAAACTAATATTTATTATTGATGGACATAATTTAAATTCAACAAAAATTAGTTTGTCATCCTCAGTTGATGAATGTGAAACAAATGAATTCGTTTCATCAATATACAATTTAATAACAACAGCATCTCATACAGCCATTAGTCTTAATGTTGAATTACCACCACCACCAAAAGTTCGATCAATGGTACATTTATGTTTTAGTCATATGAATAATAGTAATAATAATAATAGCAATAGTAGTATGTGGAATTCAAAACAGTTATCATCACCATTTTTTACATTCATTCGAGAAAAAGAAGTAATTCCATTTGCAGCCAAAATATGTCTTATTTTATTATTATTTTGTGTGTCCGGATTCTTCAGTGGACTTAATCTGGGCTTGATGTCACTTAGTGTTAACGAGTGTCAATTATTAATGCATAGTGATGATGCAAATCTGAGGTAAAACATCTTATTCATTTTGTTTTCTTAAAAAAACATTTGTTTGATTATACTCTTTCCATAGGTAGTTGAATTAAAAAGTCGTCTAACAAATTTGTTTCGAACTGCGTGAGCAAGCTTTTTATTTGAACTAAGTTTATATGTTAGCTGAATGAACTATTAGCATCGGATAGTTCCATTGATACTAGGCATAGATGTCGTACATTTTGTCTGACGTTGCTAGTAACGCTGATGTTATTTTCTTTAAACATTTTGGAATAAATTATGTGGTCAACATCAGTCACTAGCAATCGGCTTTTCTCATTTCGAAGAGACTTTTATTGTATTTATGATACGCTTGAGCTTTATAGGTTACAGTGCTGAGAAACGGTATCAAGAATAAAGAAATTCAATATCTGCCGATACTTACGTGAGTTTTTGAAGAAAATAGCAAAGAGACAGTCAGCATAATTAAACTTATAATATATCAAACAATACTCCAATAAAGTCTATCGGTTTCTTATTAAACTCAATGTCATCAGCATTACTAGCAATGTCGGATAAAATGTACAACATCTATGTCTAATATTAATGAAGATACTTCGTCCAGCCAAAATATAAACTTAGTTCAAATAAAAAACTTGCTCACGCAGTTTGAAACAAATTTTGTTAGACGCTAAGAAAGTTGACTTTTTATTTCAACTTCATATATGCTCGCTCAAATGGTGCTGTTTTTCTAAAAAAACGCTAGTTTAACTTAAATTATAGCGCATGATGGTTGTACACAACCTATAGTTGTGTTTAATTTGTTGTTTAGATATTATGCTAGACGTGTGTTACCATTACGAAAACGTGGCAATTTTCTTCTATGCAGTATTGTTATAGCCAATGTCCTTGTAAACTCATTAGGAACGGTATTCTTAGACTCATTGGTGCATGGATTATTAGCAGTCATTGGTTCAACAGTTATGATTGTTCTTATGGGTGAAATTATACCAGTATGTTTGTATTTTTCTCGAGTTATATTGTATAATTCTTTGATGATCTTTATTCTAGCAAGCAATATGTTCTCGTTATGGATTAAGTAAATATTTGTTGAAAAATCATTTTCTTTCGTCAATTCATTTAATAAAGTTCTTTTTAGTTATTGGTGCTCATACGCATATGATAACATGGGCTGCCATGATCATTACGGGTATCATATCATTTCCGTTAGGTTTAATATTAGACAAGATACTTGGACAAGAAGTGACAGCATCCTATACAAGAGAACAAATTGCCGGTTTACTAAAACGAATTAGTGCTGATATTGAAAAACCCGAGCTTGACATAATAACAGGTTAGTGTGATACGATTCGGTGATCGATAGGTTAACACAATTAAAAAAAAAAGTAAATTGAATTTGTGAGCAAGTAAGAAAAAAATTCAAGAAATCACTACGTCGAAACTGAAAAAGGTAGAATACGTAGACGTACAACATAGACAAAATATGTGTATATAAAACATGCACACCTAGCATTTTTCCACTTTTTGGAACCTTTTTAATATTTGTCTTCTAAGCTTCCAATACTTGCTAAAATATTTGCCAATAGTCATTTAAAGAGTGCCTTGTTGTAGCATCGGTCATTAAAGATATGACTAGTAAATAAAAAGTCATCGTGATTATTTTGTTCAGAGTACAAAAATAACTACGTGTGTTTCTGAAGATTTCCAGAAAGCCTTCTAAATAGAAGTAAAGGATTTTCTTTGCAATTATTGTACTTTCAGGTTTACCAACGTATAAAGAAGATAAAATAAAATATATCTTAGTATTTTAAAGTAGTTTCGAACGATTTTTTGAATAAGTTATAAATTTCTCAGTTCTGTATGAAAAATGTCTAAAATCGATTTGTATTGGATGAGATGCATAATCTTGGTGAACGCTGTGATTAATATTGAGAGACCAAAAAAATCCTAGAACGTAAAAGTCTAAGAATTTAAGGGAAAAACTTGATTACAGAGTGAATTTTGATTACAATTTATTTGTTTAAAAAACTTGGTTTCATGATGAAGGGGAATAATGTCTACCTAATGTAAGACGTACTTTAATAATTACGTTTGTGACATCGAAAGACGCCATTTTTGCAATCTGTCGTGTTAGAAGAAAGCTTATACATTATATTATACTATATTATAGTCATTACTTCAAATAGATATATCTAATCGTTTTAAAAATAATTGTGAGACCATCAAAAGCTATTGATTTATTTTTTCAAAATAATGATGTTTATCTCTCATTCACTTCGATTAGATTTAAATTATGCAGTCGACTGTAATTATTACTACAAGGTAGATGTACAGAAAACTAGTTGAATATAGAACATCAAAATATGCTCTTCAATTTAGTTCTGTCTCACTAGAAGTCTTATTCCAACATACTCAAAACATTTATGAACTAACTATTGAAACGACTAGTCACACTATATTCCGATACAAAATAGTTGATAAAAACTAAAAATAATCTGATAACTGTTTCTAATCGAACATATTCAAATGATGACGACTTGACCTCTCGTTTAAAATATTATGTATAAATTGTTAAAAGAGTCATTGGTAATCTAAACTGCAAACTAAAATTAGATAATTTTGAGCGCTTTATTCCTCTCTTCATTTTTCCTGATTGCATAATCTCAAAAGGCAATTCATTCCACGCAGAGTACTAAATTTGAAAAGAAGAAGGACAGATCAGACCCTACCTCAGGTTCGTCTTTTTTAAAGCGTTTTCGATTTCAACTTTGGGCTTGAGAAGGTTTTTTAGCACAAAAGGACAGTAATTTACAGGATTTTTAGTCTTTTTCGAATATCTCGAGCAGCAAAGCATATTTTTCGAAAACAAAAAAAACGAATCTGAGATAGGGTCTGAAGTCTTGCACCTCGATCGGACCACTTTTTCGAGAGGTCATAATGCGACTAGATGAAAACTAGAGTTTTCCAGAAAATCCATAGAACACGTCAGAAAATTCTGGACAAAAATACATCGATTTTCTTTTTCGATGTTCTATCTCTATCTCTGATGTAAATTTCACCTCAATCAAACATCGACTTCCCCGGTTTTCAAGTGGGTCAAAGAAGAGAGGGGTACCCTTAAGAACTCGAATGCAAACACATCCACTAGGGTACGAAATACTTTGTATGTGTAACTTTACTTGATAAATACTTGTCAAGTAAGTATTTACTATCAGTAAGTATCAGCTATCAGCGACATGTGTTTGTTTAGTCTTCTTTTACCCTTATCCTTCCTACAAAAATGTGGGATCCCTCCCTTAAAAAGTCCTGGCTACACCACTGGTTTATCCACTTCTCTAACGCATTAAGCTTAGAAGTTAAACGAGCGTGAACGCAGTTTTCATCCTTTCTTTGTCGAAATCACGTTCCACCGGAATTTAACCCCTTTAAATGCACTAAATATGAAATATTTGATTATTTTCATATTTAACGCATTCGAATGATCGTTAGTTGCTTCAAATTATTTCATGAGAAGTACCGGCTTTATTAGTAAGCGAAGCATTTGGGTCCGAATATATTCACTAGGGTATGATTTCGATTTATTGGCTAAAAATGGATGTAGAACTTTGACAATACTGTGAAGTCTTAGCCTAAATTCCAAGAGTATAAATGGCGGTCATCCATTCTTGCGCATTATGTATTCAATTCTTTATTTTCATCTCTTGTTTTATATTTACAACTTACGCATCACAGACGTATTATCAGATTCTTTTCTGCACCTCTCAAATTAATTTCATAATATCATCTGATGTATCAATTAGAATTGTGTTTCTGTGTTGCTATGTATGCTACACATTACAGTTTCTTAGACTTGTTCAATTTTCTTGAAATTGAGCATTCTATTGTTCAAAAAGTCGATGGTTTGATTAATAAATGAATTGAACACTGCTTCAAGACTCATTTACTCAAAACACATATTAGGGTTTTTACCGGTCTAAAGAAACTTTTTAGTCGTAAAACTCCCTCTAGTCCCCCTCAGGATTAAGTCATACAATAAATTTCACAATTTTCTAGATATACAATTTTTTTCAATAAAATATGTCGAGAGCAAGTCTAAGTTCTTTTATCAAAGATAATCATATTGTTACAAAAAACATCAACCTTATTTTCTTCAATTTGTCTA